AATATACTAGATAAAGATCAGCTCATAAACAAAATACAGACGGCAAAAATATTTAGTAAATTTGATTGCAAGTTAGGGTTTTGGCAAATCAAAATGGAAAAGGAAAGCATACCTTGGACAACCTTTTGTTGCCCACAAGGACATTATGAATGGCTAGTCATGCCTTTTGAACTAAAAAATGCACCCTCCATATTTCAGGGCAAGATGGTTAGTATATTTAATAAATATAGTTTTATACTGGCATATATAGATGAAATATTAGTATTTAGCCCAGATAAAAATAGTCTCATAGATCATTTATATATAGTGTTAGAAGAATTTATAAACAATGGAATAATAATTAGTAAGAGAAAAATAGTATTAAATAAACCTCATATAGAATTAGAAATGGAGTTAGGAGATGGAAAAATCATGTTACAACCCCCACATAATTAAGAAAAGCGGTGTTTGGGAAAGAGGTTGAGAGACTATTTTAGCCTCATTCAAACAAATAGCCAAAAAGCTGTATTGTAGTTGAGTTTTTTTTTTTTTTTTAATCAGAACTGACACATCAAATTTATGACTGTGCATGGCAGATTTGAAATTACGTTTTTACCCTTTTAATTTTTTATTAACCCACCAACTTAGCATTCCAACACATAGGGGCAATTTAGTCATTTCATATCCCAACAAATCAATCATCACATTAGGCACAACTTTTTGAGAATAATTTAATTATTTTTTTATCTCAACATCATTTTAAACGCATTTTTCAATCTAACAATCAAACAAAAAATTCAATCTATCTTCCCAAACACAAAAACTAAAATAGCATAAAATAGTCAAAAAGCCAAAAAATTGAAAAATAGCCACTTCCGAAACACCTACAAAATTTTAGACTACCGGGATAAATTGGAAGATACAAAACAACTTCAGTCATTTTTAAAAATTTTAAATAATGCACGAATGTACATTCCTAACCTTAGTAAAATAATAGGACCTCCATATAGCAAAACCACACCCACAAGACAAAAATATTTTAACCAACAAGATATAACTTTAGTAAGAAGAATGAAAGACAATTATAGAAATTTACCCGACCTACAACTTCCCTTAGAATCAGAATATATAGTCGTAGAACCAAATGCAAGCTAATTAGGATGGGGAACAGTATTATTAGCTAAACCTAGCAAGTTTGATAGTAAAAATAAAGAGCGCATTTGTAGATATAGTTCTGGAAAATTTAAAGAAAAATATACAACCATGACCAGCTTAGATTTTGAAATATTAGGAATAGTATATGCAATAAACAAATTTAGACTATTTTTACACAAACCCTTTATAATTAGAACAAACTGTGAAGCTATAGTTAGATTTCATAATAAACTTAATGAGCGTAAACTTAATAGTAGAAAATGGACAAAACTTTTAGATTGTATAGTAGGACAAGGATATAAAGTAGAATTTGAACATATTAAATGGAGTGATAATAAATTAACAAATTGGCTAAGTAGGAAAATTTATTTAGAAAAATAAAATAATCAGTTTAATTTTTTGTGTAGATAATGGAAAACAGCAAAACAATAAACGTTGGGGGATTTGCTCTTCCCATTTGTTAAGGCAGAAACAAATTCAAACCATTAACAGGAATCGAGCTATACCCAGTTTAACAGTGTCTTTTAGATAACTTGTTGAACAACTTTAATCACCCAGCTAAACGTTTTTCAGCTTTAAATTCTCTCAGTATATATTTTTCAAAAATCTAGAATAAACTTTTGTCTAAAAGTTTTTCTTTCTATGTAGTAGCTAAAGGAACCAAGCCTAATATTTACCATGACTGGGTAGAAATTGAACCTTTAGTTAAAAAATTTTCCGTACCTCAGTTTAAAGGATGTTATGATTTCGAGTCAGCTAGTACCTATGCCCGCAGACAAATAGGAACCAATTACTTTATCAGTCAAATAGCTAAAGATTATCTGGACACATTGAGCAAGATGCAGTCAACTATTCTTGCTACTAGTGGAGTTCCAATTAGCCAGATAACAGGAAGCAGTAGTACTAACCCTCAGCTAGATTCTCAAAATCCTCTCCAAATGTACAGACATTGTGAAAGCCTTACCAAAAATTTCAAGAAAATTATGGATAAAGGCAAAAAGGTCAATGAAAAATAATTGAGAGCAACCATCCTAACCAACCAACTTAAAAAACTAACTCTAGAAAAAGCACTTACTCCTTTCCTGACCCAGAAATCAGAAAACTATTACCAGTGAGGAATTTGAACAATTGAGTGCTAGAATGTATTTTTTCAGGCATTCTATCATTCAATCTTTTTGTGAAAAAAAATAAGAAATAGAAGACCTTAAACCTTATATATACACCTTAGCCGAAGATAGCAGAAATAATGAATTACTCACTATACAACAATTTCTTCAAGACCTCTCCATAGCAAGAGTTCAATGCCCTGGTATGGCATATCAATGGACTTATCTCTACAAGGATGAAGAACAACCCTGTTTACAAGAAGCAAGTATAGATAGGCCAGAATATTTTGGAGGATGTCAATGTAATCTAGATTTCATCATCTGCCTTTGCCAGATAAATCTAGCAACTTTTGAGCCATTGGAGATAGAGATTAGGGGCAAAACGTGTCATTTAACAGCCTCACAATTGTTAGATTACAGCTTTGTTTCTAGAATAATTTTTCAGATCCAGATCAGATATATAATTTTGGAAATAAACTTGCTCATTTAGTACTTTGTGTAATGGAAGAGCATCATCATTTTGTAGAAGTATTAATTGATAGCAAGCTACCAGAATGGAAAGGAATAAGGTACATTCCAGCTAAGCATAAAATGTACCTCAGAGGAACTTTGACATTTCCAGGATACCCAGGACTTCTTAATCGGAGACCCTGGCTATGCAGAAAATTTTCACTCAGAGATCAGCTCAATAAATAGAGGAAATTTGCTTGTAATCCTCCATTAGCATATAATGGAAACTATGGTAATCTCGTCCGCGAAGATAGAAATCAGAAGATATGCTATAACTTAGCCATTCTAGGTTTTCCCTTCAGCAAAGAAACATTTGTCGATGAGAGCTGGTACCCCAACTATTAGCATAGTATCTCTCATGATTCACCAGTAATGGAAGAAGAAGGTAACCAATGGAAGAATAAACTAGATAACGGGGACGATTTTTTCGATCAACTCTCAACAACAGATCTTGAAGATCTTGAAGATAGAATGTATGGGTGAAAAAAAAAAAAACTAGCACTCCATAATTAGACTCTTTCGAGATTGGGTTTTACTTGCTTATCCTTTTATTCTTTTTCCTTTTTGAAGTACTAATCTTTCCAGCGAAGCTAAACGATTTTCTAAACTGTGTAGTTGTTCTGAAAATTCTTCAAATTTTTCACACAATCGGATAAGAAATAAAATTTCTATATTATTTTGTCTTACTGATATTTTATCTGACTGGTTTATTCCTTGATAACTACTAATTCCCTCTGGGTTATTATGAAAGTCTTCTGCTTATTTTAAAATAATCTGGTAGTCTCTATTAGCTTTTTTATCACTACTCATAAATTAAGATCTTATTAGTTGTTCTAGAATTTCTAATTTCTGTTTTAAATTATCTTGAATTTGGTTGATCTGTTCTATTTGTCTAGCTATTTGATTTATCTGATTATGAATTTTTTCAATTAGTTGCTTAAATTCTAACTCTATTTGCTTCGAGCTACTGATATTTATGGCTAAAATTAGAGTTTCTATTTCTAACTTGGTGGCACTATTTGACATCCCTATATTAACACATTTTTTTTTAATCTTTTTATATTTTTATGCCACATCACCTCTCTATTTTTTTTTACATATTTTTTCGTAAAAAATCAAAAAATATATTTATTTAGATTAGGGGTGGGCAAAGGTGGCTATGGAACCTTCAATCCGCTGTCCGTTCGCCAGATTAGAGGATTGGAGAAAATCAATCCACATCCGTCCACCAATTTGGCGGATGTGGATTGAGCGGATTAGTGGATTGGAAGATGGATGCAAATCGGTTTGGCGGTTTAAAATTTTATGAATTTTCAACATAATTCAACTTTTGCACTTCCTCAAAAAAAAAAAAAAAGAGAAAGTATTACAATCAATGACTAAAAAAAATATTACAATCACTGCATGTCTCATTCAAAGAAAAAAAGTTTGAAACTTTAGAATATTACAATCACTGCATGTTTTATCCACATATTACAATCACAGCATGTCTCATCCACATAAAGTATTACAATCTGTGGTTTTCAAAATATAAAAACAATTCAAACCATCAAAACCATGAACAAAGCAGTAGTAGAGATTGTATGCCTTTGTATAGTTATATTTATATCTGTTTTTTAAAATAAAAACCAGCCAGTATATATCATCTTTTTTATTTATTATTTTTAGAGTTAGATTTAACAACTAAAAAAATATAGATAAATAATACATTTATTTTTTTAATTTAAAAAATATATTTAAGTTGAAAACTCTTTTTCAACAGAATATTTAAACGTTTTTTTAATTGAAAACACAAACAGAATATCTAAACAAATTGAAAACACAAAGTGTTACAAATTACTATGGGTGCTCGCAGTTTGGTGGATCGATTGTGACCAAAGGAATCTCAAACCTGCTATCCATCCAAAACTAAGTGGATTGGAAAAAATCAATCTGCAACTGTCTGTTCATCATCATGCATCCGTCCAAAATGCAACGGGGTCAGTTCAGTTCAGTTCGATTAGTTTGGACGGATCGGTATATCCGTTACTCATTCCTAATTTAGATCGTCCCAAACACCATATAAATCAATTTTTTTTACTCATAAGTTATAAATAAAAAAATTACACCAAATATATTGTGATGTAAAATTTAAAAAATAAAAACAAAAATAACACAAAAATATAAAATCATAATTAGCCAAGTACCAAAGAGCCCCTTGTGTTGATTTTCGAGGACGTCGGGCTAAACGACGCCGCTTTGGTCTTTCTTTCTCTATCTTGAGCGAAAAGAAAAACCAGGGAGAGCTCACAGATTAAAGAGCGTTTCTCGATCGATCTGTGCATTAGCCCTAGTTATCGTCTCTCTCTCTCTCTGATCGAATCACCATGACGAAGCAGCACGCAAACTGGTCTCCTTACGACAACAATGGCGGGTGAGCCCCCTTCTCATCTCTCTCTATATGTATTATCTGTATATACACACTTTTTTTTGTTTCTTCTTCATTTTCAATCTCGCTTTGGTGATTCATTCGTGTTGATATTCGATTGTGTTTGTATGTATGTCTATGCAGAACTTGCGTTGCTATCGCAGGTGGCGATTACTGCGTGATTGCGGCCGATACACGAATGTCGACTGGTTACAACATTCTTACTCGCGATTACTCCAAAATCTGCAAACTGTACGGTCTTCCCTTGTTTATTTATGATTTTTGTTGCGTATCCCTTATTATGTTGATTGATCTGTGTATTTGAGTGCCTATTCTTCTGAGTTTCTTTCCTTTTTTAGAGAAAAAGTAATTTTGAATTGGAATTACTTCCTTTATCAATTTATCAATTCCCACACTTTTTGGATTAATGTTTTGAAATGTGATGATTCACCAGACAAATAAAAGAATTGTTTTTTTGATGATTTGTGAGTTGTGGCTAAAGAATTGAAAGAGTAATGTAATTTAGGCTGTCACAGAGGGATATGAATTATAAAACTCCTACAAAGCTGTATTTGGTATCAGATTTTTTTTTTTTTTATTTTTTTAATGAATTTCTAACGAAAAATAAAAATAAATAAATTAGAAGCTAGTGGTAATGTTACTCCATGTTACATCTTGGTATGCAAGGTATCCAAACTTGATTTTATGTTCATAATCATATTATTTCTTGGACCTGAATTTGAACCTGTACATCGTTTTTATAAAGCCAGTCTTGTTAACAAGATAGGCAAGATGTGGTGAATGTTGTTTCCCATTAGTTGTCACTATTTGACATCAATCTTCTACCTCAGTTATACAACAGTAGTGTTCTCTAGTGACCTAGTCATAGCTAGAAGCGACCCATTTTTTTAAATTTATCGTTAAAGCAGTTATGGGTGGACTTGGGCTGGGCCAAGCTTGAAGCACTCTTCCTAAGCACTGACTGCATTATAATCTGGGCATATAGGCCTAAATATAATATCACGCCCTATAAATCGTGGGCAAACTTAACAAGACATTGGGCCCATGTAAACCCCTAATTATAAGTTGCCCACATAAAGATTAAATAATCAATGCTTTCTCCTTCACCCATGAAAATGCACAAATAACTCTTTGAAGTACAGAGAGTTCAAAGGTTTTATACTAAGCAAAAAAAAAAAAAAAAAGGAAAAAGGAAAAAATAAAATGTTTATGCCAGGTTTTATACTTACTAAAATGCTTGTGCCATTGCTCTTATTACTTGGAGTTCCCTCCTCTATATATCTGTATATCTATTCATGGAGGAGTTAATCTGTTGAACAAAAGCTACAAATAAGTTTTTAAAAATAATCAAACCAAACAAATTTTTCCAAAAAAATTTCTCAAAACGTATAAACCAAACAAGTTTTCCAAACAAATCTCCCTCTCACACACATCAAATCAATCACTTTTTCCAAAACTCTCTCTCAAAATAATTTTCCAAAACATCTTTTGAAAAAAACCAAATCAAACAACTTTTCGTACTTTTTATCTTTAAAACACATCTCTCAAACACAAACCAAACATACCCAAAATGTTTATGCCAGGTTTTATACTTACTAAAATGCTTGTGCCATTGCTCTTATTACTTGGAGTTCCCTCCTCTATATATCTGTATATCTATTCATGGAGGAGTTAATCTGTTGAACAAAAGTTTTCTGCAAGACAATGTCATGTATTTGAATCTTACTTTTGTTGACCTTGCAGAGCGGACAAATCTGTGATGGCTTCATCTGGTTTCCAGGCTGACGTTAGAGCTTTGCAAAAGGTTTTGGCAGCCAGGCACTTGGTGAGGATTTGAAATTGTTGGCTGTTAATTTTATTTTTACTGTTCTTCATAAAATGATGAATGTGAAGAATTCACTAACATTAAACAAATGTACTCTCTTGATGTGATATATCAACATTCTCATTAAACAATCCTAATGTGATCCTACTCCATTCCAGAATGATTCAACATAATTACATGATCCAATTCACGATCCCACGTCGATTAAGCTATATTACCGATTTTACACCGATTTGGATCGTTTGGGAAATCTTGATCAAACTATTAATCTTGGATCATATGATTTGATTCATATTGCAATTTAGATCACTATGGTGTGGACTGATACTTTCAGTTGAAAAGTATTGAGCTATGGTATATGTAAATCAACTGGGAAAGGAGATTATATGTTGTTAAATTTTGTGAGAACCCCATTTGTTGGAGATATAACTAAAGATGGATTGATTTTATTATTTCTGGTTCTGAAATATATTTTTCTGCTCAAGGTTTGAGGAAATGGAAAATGTGCTGGAAGTGTCTTATCATTTCTTATTTTTGTTGGAACACAGATCTATCAGCATCAACACAACAAGCAGATGAGCTGCCCTGCAATGGCTCAATTGCTCTCAAACACCCTCTACTACAAACGCTTCTTTCTTATGGGGTCATGTCGGTTCAATGTCCTAGGTGGACTTGATAATGAAGGTAAAAGTTAGATCTTTAGGTGCAGTTTTTATCCCCATTTCATATTAACATCACATGTTTCTTTCTGATTCTAAAGGAAAGGGTTGTGTCTTCACATATGATGCTGTTGGCTCCTATGAGAGGGTTGGATACAGTTCCCAAGGTTCTGGTTCCACCCTCATCATGCCCTTTTTGGACAACCAACTGAAGTCTCCAAGCCCTCTTTTATTACCTGCTCAGGTCTGGTTTTGGCTTTAATTATTAATTCACAAATCTACTTCCACAATTTATCTTTTGTATGTCAGTTTAAACCGAATGACTATGCAGGATGCTGTTACACCACTGTCAGAACTAGAAGCAATTGATTTGGTGAAGACTTGTTTTGCATCTGCAACAGAGAGGGATATATACACTGTAAGCTTCTGTGCCACCTCACTTTTCTATCATTTTTGTGTGAATCTAGAACTTGAAGATTATGCCAGAGTCTGTAATTTCTAAGCTTTGCTTTAGAACCATCACTGGGTAATCTCTTCCATAAACTAAATGAGGAATATGGTGATAAGTTAAAAGCATAGTAATAGTTTTTCAAGAAAACATGGTTACTTTTTCGAAAATGAGAAAAAAGAACACGAGGAAAGTTAGACTGAAAAACCAATTTTAGTTCTTACTTCCACTTCCATCTTTATTATACCTGTCCATTTTACATCACTTGATTTGGTTCTCTTTTTCAAGGTGGCTGAATTCTGCAGTTTTAGGATGTTCTTGCTGCTGCCTTTTTCTGTTTATTATATAGCATGCCTTTGGACCCTTTTTGACTTGGCGACACCAATGTGTGGACAATAGCTACAATTATTGTAGAAGAAAAATACCAAATTTAGCTTTGATTTGATGATTTGGCTTGCACCCGTGGGGGGCCAGGAAGGATTTTATTAAAATGTAGAAGATGCTAAAAATGGGATGTAACCTTTACCTTTGTACAAAACTCTATGAGATCAAAAATGTTGAACACAAAAATCGAGCTCTCCTATCAAATCTACAAGAGCAAAAAAGGATTTACCAAAAAAATAAAAAACTTTTGCACCAAATATAAACTATTCTGCAATAAACACATCTTAACCCTTTGCATTCTCTACTTGAATCTTCAATACTTGAATCTTCAAAGCGATAAGTTTATTTCTCGTCACAAACATGACATGACACATAATGGCGCTACCATCGAAGTTTTCTTCTTTCTCTTGAACATACATCTGGTACCCCAATACTCCATTGAACTTCAGAACATAGGTTTGTGTCACCCAAACAAACCTAAAAATGGGCAATAATAGATGTCATAATTTTTTTGGCAACAATACAATGAATCAGTGAGTGGTCCACTGCCTCTCTGCTCTATGACATAAGAAACACCTTTTAGGTAGTTGAAACCTCTTTTTACCAATCCATTAGTGGTAAGGATGAAGTCTAAAGTGGCTGTCTAAACACAAAATGCCACTGGGGTTGGAACTCTAGATTTCCAAAAGTGAGTTTGAAAATTTGAGATGGACTTCTCTCCCTTTAATCTGACAATGTTCTCGACAAATTTTAAATGCTTGCACCTTATCCAACTGTAGTGGGATTAAATATGCCATCAAGTTGCTTAACATTGCTGCAAGGAAAATATGAGAAAAGCACAAAACTAGATCTAGATTTTCCATTTTTGTTCTGTTTTGCTTGGTAACACTTCACTTGTATGGACCAAGTGGGGGATACTATGTCGGGATGGACTATTACTTTGGACCCCAATTGTTTAGCCAATCATTGGATTATGTATTTTGTTGGATTATTAATCCAATCCCAAGGTTGGGAATAAGGCATAGAAAACTCAGTCAGATCACCAGTGGATATGTGACTTGGAAGTTAAGAGTTGGGGGATCGTCAAGGTTGCTTAGCATTCACCTTGACTAGCCTTATTGAGTTGACCAAAACATAGAATGTATCATACCTAATTCCTAAAGAGCTGTGATATGCTCCTGAGGCTCAATACCTACCCATTACAGTCCCATGATATGACCTCTGATGGATGCAGTAGGTAATTGGTAAACCCCCTGATTGTCAAACAAAGGGGACACCTATCCCCCAACATTGAATGTTGTGCTTGGCTGAGCCGACCCCCATTGTTCAACAACTCCATGTAAGGGGACCTCCATGCATGCAAAAGAAGTTCTTTCTCCACTGCTTCCCGCTCTTTCTCCTAGCAAGGCTGCTTCAGCCCTCACCTCCATTGTACTCTTGCCATGTCAGTGCACATCATCTTCTCTTCCTAGAAAGTCTCACTATGGCCAGCTCACTTGCATTCATCCACAACCAAATATATAAGTTTGTTTATCTTGAGCCCTCATTTCTTATTAGCTGTTCTCTGTCTGGAAACCATCCTTTCCTCTTTGAGGATAATTTGAAGCATCTGGTGGACACCATTTTATTTGGCTTTGGTATGGGACAAGATATTACATTTTTTTCCTATTGTGAGAGATGCATTTAGAAGGAAATTTTTTTGGATATCAGCCTTTTCAACCGTGTCCTCGTTATGTTTTGCAGGGGGACAAGCTGGAAATGGTCATCTTGAATGCTGATGGTATTCGCCGCGAGTTCATGGAACTCAGGAAGGATTGATTTGGCGTATGGGATTAAGGAATGCTTAGTATGCATGAAGATGATAATTGTTGGGAAGGTTCTGTGTTCTCAATGCTCATCAATTACCGTCTTTTGTTTTCCAGTTAATCCAGTTTGAACCCGTAATTTTTCCTGCTTAATTGTAGTGCTGCAATTATGGGTTCTCTACCGGACATGAATTTATGTATTTGGATCAGGTTTTCAGATATGCAATTTACTTTTTAGTTGTTTGGATAAAAATAAAATAAAAAAATATTTAAGACATTAAATTTATCATTTTTAAAATCATCCCTAATTATGTATCTGACAAATAAAACATTCTATTATGTGAAATCTAACTTGAATGTCACATTGTTAAGGGTTATTTAGAGGTAAAGATGTAGCATTATTGAAAAATAAAATTGATGTAACATATTTCCTCAACGACAATATTGTCAAACTCAATGCAACAATAGTATGGGATAAATTGGCCCACGAGAACAAAATAATGCGGGATACAAATGAAACAAAATAATTCTACATTCGCAGGATACCAAAAAAATCAACATATGAGGTGCAAAGTTTGAATCAGACACAAGACGAACTAATATTATCCTGGATAAAATAGTCAAATCATGCTCCTTTATACATAAATCAAACATGACTTTATAGTTTATTGTTCTAATTTCTCAATGTATAAACAGAGAACAATCTTGGTTTTTTAATCTTTCTCAGCTGTGTATTGTGATCAATGGAGTCAATAGCAATCCCGAACCTTGTAAAAAGAAGCCACATCCTGGTTATCCAATTAACAACATTGTTTCATTTTCTTTTCCCCGAAGTGATTAAATCATATAACCATAAATAAGAATTTATAGTCTGGAAGTTGAGGTTTGCTCAAAAGCTATTCTCTGAAGCCCAACCCTTCTTCTCCAACTCTAATCGCAACGCCTGTGCAAAATTAACAAAAGGTCCAACACTAGTTATGAAAACTGAATCACTCTTATGACATTGTTATAACAAGGTATCAAAATCATATGCTTTGTTGTGTTTTTGAAAACAAAAACAATGAAAAGTTGGTAAACAACACCCATCACTTGTATCATTTTCATTTTTGTGCCAAAATAATGTTAAAAAATTTGAAGACCACTTTTTTAGTGTTGTTTCTTAAACATAGGTTGTTTATAGAAAATTCTCAAAAACTATATTTTGTGTTTTCCAAACAACAAAAACATAAAATGAAAACACAACTAGGCTAGTTTGTGTCATTTTCCTGTTTTCTGTTTAGAAAAAACTTGTTTGTGTGTACACTAAAACAAACAAAAAAAGAATTGAAAACAAAGATGAAGAAACATGTTTGGTGAATGGTGGGTGGGTGGTGGCCAGATGTGAAATACTTTGTAAACAAGTGAAAACACCCATATTTCATTTCAAAAAATTTTGGAATCAGTTCTATTGTTTTGAAAACAAAATAGTTTACGAAGGAAGGTTCAGTTTTCAAAAAAATAAATAAATAAAAAAATCAGAAAACAAAAAATGAAAATGTTACCAAATGAGGGAGTGGGGGTGTCAGAATTCTCACCTTGATTCTCTTTCTATTTGCATCAAAATCAAAATTCCCTAACCGAGATGCTGATCGATACTCCACGATTGATTTCTCGCCCGGTGGGAACCAAAACTCAACGTCGTCGACAAGCTAATGGAAGAGTAAAATACAACATCAAAATTGTGCTTGAAATGAATAGATTGTTTTAGAATTTGGATTGGTTCTAGTACGTGGAGCACCTACCCCAAAAATAGGGCTTTCATATTCCACATGAACATAATCATCTTTCTTCTCTGCAATTCGCGGTTTCGACTTGTCCGCTTTTGTTGATTGTATCTGCAAGTTAGTGTAGTATAATTAGGAATTTTATTCATCCTACTGTCAGCTGCAAATATTTTAGGCTATATTTGGATTATGAATTTGAATAGGAATTTAGAAAGAAAAAATAAAAAGCGAGAGAAATGTGACTGAAATATAAACCTCCTTTTTTTTTTTGTGGGTTCACTCTTTAGTTTCTCTTTCCAAACCCCAATTCAAATCTATCATCTAAACACTTTGGTGTTTCGACCTTCTATTTGTGAAGGGAAAAGAGCACTGAATGAGAAAGCGAAAGGGAAGTAAATTTTTAACAAATATTTATTGGGTAAAATACAAATCCACTTTCTGAGATTTATTTAAAATATGGATTACCTTTTATGGTTCTAGAAATTACAAATATCCTGGATTTTTATTTAACAGAATTAACCAAAAAAAATGAAATTTCTAACTATTCTCTTATACAAAAATAAAGTTATCTGAATTGTTAATTGAAATATATTTTTGACATTATTAAAAATTGTTAGTTGAATTGGTGATTTATTAATAAAAAAAGTTATTTGTTATACAATTGGAAACTTGAAGGGAGGGGATATAATTTCTAGAATTACAAGACGCAATTTATATTTTAAATAAATCTCAGAAAGTGTATTTGTAATTTACCTATATTTATTCATTATCTTATCATTTTTCAAACCCAACCAAGAGAGGAAAGTTTCTACTCCATTTTCTTTTCCAATATATATATATTTATTTCACAAATCTAAAATCCATACACAATTGGCTAAGCGGTAATGGGTCTAAATTGTGTAATCTCTTAATTATCATATAAACTGTTAGGAATTTTTAATAAAACTAGGATTATTATTACTATTTAATTTATTTGTCCATTTCAACATTAATGATTGATTTTAATATTTCGGTTACATAAGTTTTATTAGATTTTAATATTATAATTATGTCATGTTTAATATATGTATTAATAGAGTTTAATCCTTCATCTATGGAAAATTTTAATATACACATCCTTGAAAAAGGTGTACCGTATGCACTCCTGATTACATCATTTTCTTTTTTAGTTATGACAAATTTTCTTCTTTAGTTATGAATTATTTTAGTTATGACTTGTGAGATATTTAGTCATACTTCATGTTGTGTTTAGTTATGGCATTATTTTAGTTATGATTTGTGAGATCTTTAGTCATACCTCATGTTGTGTTTAATTATAATATATTTTTTTTAATTATGACTCAAAAAATAAATAAAATTATGTCATTTTCTTATTTAATTATAAGGTACAAGTAGTACACATGTTTTATAAGATCAAGCGTTTACCATCTCACCAAAACCCATAGGTAATGATGAAGTTACAACTTTATTTTTTTTTAAAGGGTACACCCCGGACAACACCATGGCAGGATGCTGGACCCAACCCAAGACAACACCCTTTTGACGTGTGTGTACCATAGTGTTTCCCTTCATCTATATATATAGCTACATGAGTTGCGTAGAGATATAGAGAGGTAGAGATTGTATATAATCCGTACAACTAAAAAGAGTGAGAATCTTCTAAGAGTTATCCATACGTATTTTTGTATTTTGGACAACTCTGGTTCGTAGCTTGGTTCAAGCCCCTTGATGGTCATGAACCCTATATGAAGGATGCTGTGAGCAAACTAAATTTTATCTTGGAAATGCTTTACTCCGGTTATACCTTCACAATTAGGACAGTGATAACACGACTCTCAGACTCTCGCAGCCATTGTTCTTTACTCCTGTTTTTATGTCTATATAGTTTATTATTTATTGTCATTGTTATGATAATATGAGTGCTAATTATTCTGTTTATTATTGTGCTCGAATAACATAAACATCCTACCACTTGAAGAAGCTCCTCAATTGCGTCTTTTCTGCTTTTATTTCCTCTTCTCCCCTCTGGGTTGTAGTTCCTGTAGAAGGGTACACCAATGCCACATTTTTTAAGTGTTTCAGTGTCCATATGTAGGATAAATCATAAAAATGAGAAATGAAGAAATTAATTACAAATCAAATGTACCCAGTGCAAGTGAGAACTATGCCATAAGAAAGTTCTCAAATGTACTTCTCTAATTTGCAAATGAACTTTCCATTTCCCATTTATCTTACAAACCAAATGTACACTTGCACTTCTTTAATTTGTAATTAATTTATTCATTTCTCATTTATTTAACCAATCAAATGTACATGGTGCAAGTGAGAACTACATCTCCGGGGCACAGTTCTCAATTGCACTTTTTTTTTTTTTATTTGTAATTAATTTCCTCATTTCTCATTTATCTAATATTTCAAAACATTGGCCATTAAACTGTGCAAATGCTGTAACAATGATATATGCCATATCAAATGGAATAAAAATGTTTTCCTCATGTTTTTTGTGTTCGGTACACCACCACTGACTAAAGTAGATTCCACTCATCCACCAACATTAGCTTTTGTGGGGTACCCAAAAGAAAATAATAGACTGGGGATTTGAATTGCAATTCTTTCATAGGTGTCCAAACTTGCACGAAAATGATTTGTGTACTACAGTACAGTCTACATTTGGTCCCACTAAAACGTGTAATTTGCCCTTTTGAATTTAATAGTCAGTGAGGAAAGTGCAATGAAGGCCATAGCCCAATTTGAAAAAAGGGCGAAGAGTCAAACATAGAGAAGGAATACAAAATATGCATTTACATAATATTTGGTGAGGCCCAATTCTGCGTCTACAAACGCATATACATTTTTTGTTTTTTTTTTTGGGAACTTACTTATAAGTCCCATGTACAAGATCCAGCTAATACCAAAACAAAACACTTGCACCAATTAGTCCAATACATTTTTAATTGTTATCAAAAAATCATTTTTTTTTTTTAATTTACAGACACTGTTCACATTTTACTACCGTCGGACTTCCATTTAACGGTCGCCGAAGACTCACCGGAATGTCTAGAATATTGCCGGAAAAAAAAAATTAAAAAACATGTTATGAAACTGTAAAATTTTACAGTTCTAAAGAATGTTATAAAACTGCAAAATTTTACAGTTTTAAACCATGATTCATTCCAGCACCAAAAAAAAAATTTGAAACTGCAAAATTTTACAGTTTTCACCGCCTGTGTAACTAAAACTCGAAAACTACTTGTTCAGAATTCGAAAATTTTCTCTATTAGAATAGAAAAACAGAAGTGTATAGCAGAGAAAAAAAAAAGAGATTGAAGAAGAAAGACGGATGTAGAGAGAGAATTATACTCTGACAACTATTTTTTGTTTAGATCTAGTCAAATCTGATGTAGATCTGAGTAGATCTACATCAAATCTAAGTAGATCCACTCATCTTTTTCGTCGGAAATATATATCTTCGCCGTCGGTGAGAGTGAAATCACGAGTTGATTTCGATGGTTGGCGGTTATCAGTGAATCCTGATCAATGGAGAAAGACATGAACACTTGCACCATCGTCTATGATGAAGACGATGAGAGAAAAATGTAGAAAAAAAGAGAAAGAAGAAAACGTAAAAAGCGAGGAAAAAACCAGAGAGATAGAGGAAAGGACTTTTAGGTGTACCCAAAAAGTTATGGGATTAAATGGTGTCCACATGTTCCACGTGGGACCTGTGGGTAATTTTTCCTTTTTTTTTTTAATCTTCTAAAAAAAAAAAAAACAATTAGAGAATTGACCAATTTTTCAAACTATTTGAGAAACTAACCTACTTTTTAAAATCTTATTTTAAAAATATAATTTTAAATTAAAATTGCATTTTCAACATGCAATTTCACCTTAAAATCGCATGTTAAAAATACAATTTATGATAACATGAACTTCACTCTTTGAAATTACATTTTCAAAATGCGATTTCAAAAAGCTGGCTAGTTTTCTAAATAATTTAAAAAATGAGTCAATTCTCTAAATTGTTTTTTTTTTTTAGAATATTAAAATATAAAAAAAAAAACTCCAAGTTTTGTATTCCAAGAGTTATTCCATAAATATTTCAACAAATATGAGAAATAAATTAAATAATCCCAAAAATCCAACATCTCGACATGTATCAGTCAATTCTTTAGAATATACTAGCTACACATTAATTCATTTTTACTTCTATTATTTGCTTTTTTACCCCACTAACTAAACACTAAATTATTGGATTTGTTAGAGAAAAAGAAAAAGAAAAAAAAAAGAAGGAAATAAAGAAAGAGATAATGATATGAAAGAAGCCAATTTGTTACTTTTATTTGATATAAGAAAAAATGATAGACAAGAAGCTAGAATTACTTGTTTGGTATTGTTCTAAAAAAAAAAATTATTTTTTGTGTTTCTGAAAACAAAAAAATCCAAATTTTTAGAACTCATACCACTCTTCACCAATAATTCATTTTTTCTTTTATTGTTTTTCTTTATCACTAACTAAACACTAGGTTATTGGACTTGTTAGAGAAAAATGAAAAAGAAAAAAAGAAAAACATAAATGATATGAAATCTAATTTGTTGCTTTTACGTTATATAAGAAAATGATAGATATATCAAACAAGTTTTTAGTTGTTTTCAATTATTGGACAACCAAACAAATCAAAATCAAAATCAAAATCAAAACAAATATCAGATCAGATCAGATCAGAGAGAGAGAGATAGATAGAGGCATTCTTACCAGGGAGGGGCATAGTGAGTGAGATCACTAATGTTCTCAGAGGTTGATATGCAGTTCTTGGTGGCTGGGCACAGTGCGAGTCCAGGATTGTTCTTCTGTACCCCTAGGTACTCTGGTTTTGTTCCGCTGCATCACCAAAACCACATAATCCAAAACCCCCACATAAAATTCACACCATGAAGTTAATTTCATTTTATTCTCTATATTTTTGTCATTTTCTTTATTTCATAACGTAATTGTGTTTGGATCATGAATTTGGGTACGAATTTAAAAAATGGAGGAAAAAAATACTCAATTTTTTATTCAATATTTTGAAATGAGGATTTAGGAAGAAGATGGGTATTTAGTTTGTCTAAAATTATTTTTTTATCCATTAAGGGTTGTTTTGGGGAATATGTTTTTTGGTGACTTTTTTACTTTTTGCTAAAATATAAAGTGAAAACAATTAATGTTTGAGATATTTTTTGACTTTTAAAAAAAAAAAATTGTAAAAAATAGAAAGAAAATGAAATCTTTAATTTTTTGTATAATTTTTAGATTTTTTGATTTTTTAATGGCTTTTTGACTATTATCCAAACTTCCCAAACTTGCCCTTAGGAGTTAGGTTGTTTCTAGTATTTGTACATTTGGATGTACTGAAATCAGGAATTCTCAATTTGGATATGAAATAAAATAAGTGGAATAGGAAAAATGAAGGAATAAATAAATAAAAATGATAAAAAATATAATAATTCTTTCAATTTTGACATAATTACACTGACTTTCCTTTTAATAAGGTTACAAAGATCAGAACTAATACAAATAGTATGAACACAAAAAGATGCACAAGATAAAATATACATTTAAATGTAAAAAAGATGACAACATATTTTTGTATCCATAGGATTGACAATTTTTTGATAAAAAGAGGACTAAGTATTCTATGAATTAAAACCTAAGGAGCCCAGTGTAATTATAACAAACTTGTGGGCTTATTATATTTTTTTCAAATGTAATTTACCCTAGAATAATTGTGAAACAGAAAAAAAGAAAATTAGGGGATAAAAGTGAAATTAACCGTAATCAACAGTTGTCAAGGCTGACCCAGATATAGAATAGAATGAAACCCTAGGTTATTCTAAACCGTTGAATAGGTAGATTGATTGCAGAATCAGAAAAATAAAGGGAGAAGAGAGAAGGTAGTACCTGAAGTTGAAAATGGCCCCAATCACTGCAACTTCGCTGCTCCTCAGTACGATTTCTCTTTACAATCAATCATTTTATATTCTTTCAGCAATAGATATATACATACATATATATAACCTATATTGGAAGATAGAGAGAGAGAGAGAGAGAGAGAGAGAGAGAGGGAACCTGCGCCCCATTGGTTCGATGGATTCGTTGTTGTTGTTGTTGTTGTTGTGGTGCTGAGAGACGATGATGAGAGGATGACGAGACCTAATGGACTCTTTCTGGTAACTTCTGTAGTAGATTGAAGAAGTACCTGCTGATGCCATTGAAGCCATTGCTGGCCTTCAATCTCTCTCTCTCTCTCTCTCTCTCGCTGCAGAACTGTTTCTCGCTTATATAAAAACTCATCCCACTGAAAATACCATTACGACGTCGTATTGTTTTTTTGGCACCACCTGTATTTTGACTAGTTCGGCTGTCTCTTATTTATTTATTATTATTTTATTTTTTTTAAGGTAAATTACAAATATATTTCTTGAGATTTTATTAAAATATGAATCGCCTCTTTTAATTTTGAAAATTACATTTCACTTTTGAGGTTTATAATTACATAACAAATCGTCTATTTTATTAATAAATCATCAAGTCAATTAATAGTTTTTAATGATGTTAAAAATATGTTTCAATTAATAATTTAGATAATTTTATTATTATATTAGAGAGCAATTATGAATTTTATTTTTTTAATTAATTCTGTCAAATAAAAATTTCTAATAAGAGAGTATTTGTAATTTTTCAAACCTTATGGGGTAATCTATATTTAAGCAAACTTCATGGGTGTATTTGTAATTTATCCTTTTTTTAACTTAGGGTGTTTGGCATATACTAAAATAATACATGTTATTTTAATACATTATTTTATTTGACTTATAATTATTTTATTTGAATTATATCATCTTTCTCTTACATCATTTCAAACTTAACTTATATTTCACAATTTTTATTTATTTTTGTAAGAAATTAAAAAATATATTTGTTTAGATTACTCCAAACACCCACTCAAAAAAATAAAGACCAAATATATAAATAATTAGAGCATCTCCAACGGTGACTCAAATTTTTCACCAAATTTGAGTAAAAAATGACCCATTTCACTAAATTGATACCACTCGCTCCAACGGTTCATCTTTCACCAAATCTATCCCGGGACAACCGGGTGGTCGACCGGTTAGGCAATTTTTTTTTTTTTTTTTTTTTTTTGCGAATTGTCTGAACTTTTTTTTGAACTTTCTGAACTTTTTCGGGACGACCGGGGTGGTCGACCGGTTAGGCAAAAATTTTTTTTTTTTTTTTTTTTAACGGTTTGAACTTTTTTTCCTGAACTGTTTGAATCTTTTACTGGTTGACCGGTTGGTCAACCTACCTCTTTCAACGGTTAGTAACAGTGATTTGGTAAAATCTGTGTCTCGTTCTCAGTTTGATACTTTTTTTGCTAAAATCTCATTTTGATATCAATCTGGTGCAACAGTTGGAGCTTGAAAAAGTAGGTTTTTCATCAAAATTTGAATTTGATGCTGGGTTTGGTTCACCGTTGGAGATGGTCTTAGGTCCTCAAAAACTAATGCTTTATTCTATTTGCTTAATATTTTTTATATTGGCTTTTAACGTAGGAAAATTCTAATACACGCCTCTTTAAAAATAATGTATCATATACACTTTTAATTATGTCATTTTATTCTTTAGTTATGATCAAATTTTTTTTATTATGACATTATTTTAGTTATGTATTATATTATGTTTAGTTATGTCTGATATTGTGTTTAGTTATGACATTTTTTTTTAAAAAAATTTATTTATAAATCCCATTTTCAGGAATGATGATCTATTTAGTCTTAAGGATTTTCTTATAGACCAATTAGTCTCATTAATTTTAAAAATATAGATTTAATATATTATTTAGAAATTAGATTTACGGTTATACCTTTATTTCAATTATGTTTCCTCCTTTTCTTTTCTTTTTTCTTTCTAAAAAGGTAACATACACAATATATAAGAATCAAATTTAGGATGAATTTTTATATGGGATTTTTTTTTTTTATTTGGAAAACATTTCAAAATGAGTACAAAAATGACTTGAAATATAAGATCATTCAAACATTCTAAAAGGATGTGAGATTCTTCAAATATTTCAAAAGGAGTATAAAAATCCCTTATGTTGTGTTTGGTTGGGAGATTTGAGGAAGAATTTGGAAAGGGAAATGGAAAAAATGGGTGAAATGTGAATAAAACATGTTTATATTTTACCTAATTTCACACACATTTTCCCTTTCCTTTTCCAAATCCCTCCCAAAATCCTACAACCAAACACAACATTAGTAAATTTTGGACAAATGCATAATTTCAAACTGTAACACTCAAATATAAAATTCAAACGTAACGCTCTAATGTAACACTCAAAAAAAAAATAAAAAATCTTAGTGTACTTTTTCCAAACGCAACACTTCAAAAACATTCTTTAGTGTAACATTTCAATGTAACACACAAAAACTCATTGGTGTACTTTTTCTAAACGTAACACTCCAAAAAAATGATATGAGATTTTTCAAACCATACCAAAAGGATGTGGAATTCTTCAAACCATTCAAAAATGAGTATAAAAATTCCTTAGCAAATTTTGAACAAATGTATAATTTTAAATTGTGAGTGTTACATTTAGAAAAATTACATTAAAGATTTTTTTAGTATTTTGTGTGCATCACATTGGAGTGTTACGTTTGGGATTACATTGATTGGAATGCTACGTTCGGAAAAAGTACACTAAGAATTTTTTTTTTTGTGTTATATTGGAGTGTTACGTTCGAAAAAAATACACTAATAAGTTTTATTGGAGTGTTACGCTGTTACATTTGGAAAAAATATACTAAGGAGTTTTTTAGTGTTTTTACATTGGATGTTACGCTAGTGTTACATTAGAGTGTTACGTTATTGGAGTGTTACATTTTTTTCGTAATGTTGGATTTGTTCTAGGAGGGAAAATCTAAAACCTCAATAATGCGAATTGCCAAAATGTGTAATTTTACATTTAGAGAAACTCACTTTTATCCTTAGAAAATTAAACTCAAAGATGTAAGTGACTACCTTTTTGTATAATTTTCACTTTAATGAACACAGTCCAGATTGGTCCAGATTAAGGTAAAACCAAGACCAATTTGTTATTTACGGTTCCTGAAAAATTAGAACCAATCTAATTCGTTTAAATCATGGAACCAATCCGTTGAAACACAGATTAGATCGGTTTAGGACCACGGATTCACATAATTAAATAACAATAAAAATATAGAACATTTTAATTTCTAAAAAACATAACCATAGCAAAGTTCTCCTAAAACTGGATACACATTACATAAAGCAAAGTTCTCCTTTGTATTAAAACTAAATATAATATCAAACAAAAATAATAAGAAAACTGGTTTTAGACAACAACAACATGAATGTAACAAAAATAATAAGAAAACTGGTATTAAGAAAACTGGTTTTAAACAACAACAAACAAACAAAAGCATGAATGTAACAAACTCCATAAACAGGGAAAACCAAAAAAAAGGGGGGGAGGGGAAAAACAAACAAAAGCATGAATGCAGCAGCACATCAGCAACAACAAACAAAAGCACCATAGCAGCATAACAGTAGCAACACAACAACTAGCCAAATCACTTTCTAATAGCAATGTTGACATTGGTTAGAGCTGCAAAAAAATTAATTTCAGTTTAAAGTAAAAACTAACACAATACATGAATGTAATTTAAATGATAAATTGAATATTGGAATTCCATTACCTCTTTCTATATCCTCAAAATCTACGAAGTTTTCTTCCATCTCAAGTGGCAATGGCAAAGCATGCAAACAAGAAAAAGAAATACATCAAAACAATAGGATTAATATTATAACACAGAGATTAAAACACAGATTATAACAGAAAGGCTTGCACAAATGTAATCAGAGATTTAGCAGTGTTAGAACACAGATTATAACACAGATGTAAAGAATTACTAGCACTTTGAGCAGTTGGGCAGAACTAGAAACACTGAATAGTATTAAACATGTAATCAAAGATTTACATTTACTGAATCCATTGTAGATAAGATGAAATGAACAATCAACAAGATGAATGATCTGAGATAAAATTAAACAAATCATATATGAGCACAGTTATCAAATATAGCTTAAAAAACAAAGCAATCAAACAAAACATACACAAATATAAAATTAATCTGAGAGTACAATGCAAAAACAGAGTTATAAAGCGAACAAACATAAATCTGAGAGTACAATGCAAAAAGAAATAGAACACAAATGAACCCCACAAATCTGGATGGATATAATATATACATAAGAAACCCATAAAAGAAATTATAAGAGTTATCAAATGTGACAAATCTGGGGTTGGAAAAATTAGCAAACAGGTTATAGAAGAAACCCACAAAAAGAAAATATAATATACATATATATATATATATATATAGAGAGAGAGAGAGAGAGAGAGGAGGGAGAGAGAGCTACAACTACTGATCTGAGAACTTGTCTGAGAAAAAGAAGAGAGAGAGAAAGAGAGAGTACCGAGAGAGAGAGAGAGAGAGCTACAGCTACCAATTTAAGATAGATGATCTGATATAAGATGGAGGATTTGAGAAAGAGAGATAAGAGTGTAAGAGGCAGTGAGTGAGTGACGTATGAGGTTAAAGATCTGAGATAGAGGATCTAAGAGAGAACTTGTCTGAGAAAGAGAAGAGAGACAGAGTACCGAAAGAGAGAGATGAGAGTGTGAGAGGTAGTGAGTATGAGCAGCGTATGTGTGAGGTTGAATTAGGGTTGGTGTTTATCTTTTATATGAAACAAGAAATGATATTATGTGGGAGGATATATAGTATAAATATAGACTATTTATATACGGTCCGGATCGGTTTCAATCCGGAACTGTGGGGTTCAATCTAGAACCAATCCGTAGCCTACAGATTTTTTAATTTCTAATTCGGAACCGAATCATGGATTCACAAAATCAATGCAATCTTACTGGATTGGACTGCACCGGATTAGATTACGGATTATACGGGTTCCTTGCTTAGCCCTACCTTTGGGTTCATAAGAAACAAAAAAAAAAGAAGGAAGGACTAATCAGTTCACAAGATCACATTTTGAGATTTATTGGTGCTTTAACCTTTTTTTTTTTTTTAAATTATGACTCACAAAATTAAAATTATGTTTTTTTTTTTTTAGTTATAAGGTGCATGTGATGCAAATCCTTTAAAAGGTATGGAGCATAGTGTTTCTCATATCATGAATAATGATATATTATCTTGTTGTAATCATTTCATT